CCTTCCCTCCCTTCCTTCCCTTCCCTCCCTTCCTTCCCTTCCTTCCCTTCCTTTCTTTCTTTCTTTCATGCAGAGAGGAGTAACACCTAGCTCATATCTTCGTGTAACCACATGGCATTATATAGGTAGTCTAGTCTAGTCCTTTATCCAAAACCTTGTTTTCTGGTATTTTCTGTAATTCAGATTTATACAGACACACATATTCACAGGGAATATATAATTATACATTATATGTAAAATATATATAAGCATATATATTAGGGCTGGGGCTGTGGCTCAGTAGTAGAGCTCTTGCCTGGCATGTGCGAGGCACTGGATTTGATTCTCAGCACTGCATATAAAATAAAGGTCCATTAACAACGAAAAAAATATTAAAACAATATATATTTTAGAAAGCAATACGATGCATATGCTGATATGCTATATATTATGTAACATTCTTAGATATAAAGTGCTCTAACTAAACACATTAACATTTCTATACTGATATGTATACATATTCAAATATATTGTGACAGAGACAGAAGAGCCTTATATCAATTTGGGTCAGGTTTTACTGCCAGATGAATTATGAAAATACTTTTGGATTGTACAGGATTTTTTTTGGGGGGGGGAATTTAAGATAATTAATTTTGAAACAGTAGTACATTGTGTTATATGTTATAATTTATATTTATAGACTTGTTGTAAATCTAAAAACTAATACAATTATAATTTAGTGTTTATTCTGTTTTCATTATTTTGCCTTTTATACTATAAAATATTTTCTTTGTACAGCTCCTGTATTCTCGGGGAATGCTAATTGATCTTCTAATCAAATCTAATGTTAGTCGATATGCAGAGTTTAAAAATATCACCAGGATTCTTGCTTTTCGAGAAGGAAGAATGGAACAGGTACTATGCTGATCAAGTATTGTATCTGAATATGTGCTTAAGTTTTTATGGTTCATTTTGGAAGGATAAGCAAATAAGATTGCCGTCTTTCCTGGTAAGGGAGTAAATTCTTCTTGCATCAGGGTTTACAAATGTAAATGGCAAAATTTGTTTAATAGTTTTTTTTTCTAGTGTTAGTTTTTCATGAGTTATTCTGCAGCTTGATTTTGGTGTTGAGAAAGTATTCGGTTTAGGCAGTACTGCTAGATTTGAACTGTCATTTGTTCCCCATTAAGGGTGATTTGCCATTGGACTTTCAGTGGCATAAAGAGTGGGTTTGCAAAATTAAGTAAGAAAGGTCACAAGTTAAATAGCTCTGAAATTAACAGAGATGCTGTTAGAATTGATGTAAGGTAACATGAAACAGCTATAGTTAAATGGAAATAATCATCATGTTATACTTAAAGAGGAAGAACTGTAATTTGGAATATTTTTATCATTAACTTAAAAATCATAATTTTTTCAGGTCCCTTGTTCCAGAGCTGATGTCTTTAATAGCAAACAACTTACTATGGTAGAAAAGCGAATGCTGATGAAATTTCTTACCTTTTGTATGGAATATGAGGAACATCCTGATGAATATAAAGGTATTATTTTTCATTCAATCATGTTTTCCACTTCAAGTTTTTTAATATACTTGGTGAACATCTTATTATTGTTACTTATTACTGCTACTTATTACTGTACTTATTGTTTTAAAATGCATTTCATTTATGCAGTATCGAATAAGTGGGCCATTATTTACATTATCTATTTAAAATTAGATAAAATTTAAAATTCAGTTCCATAGTATCACTAGACATTTCAAATTGCTAGTAAACATATGTACAGATATTTTGAACATTTTGGAAATTCTAAGTCCACTCAGTACAGCCAGATTTTTTTCCTCGGTGGTTATGTAAAATTACATCCTTTCAGTAAATTTTTATATTTTTTATTTACTTAAATTATTTCTATAAAGAGTTTGTGTTTGGTCATGGGATTGCGTTTGCTACCATTAATTGTCCAATTACAATGTTTTCTGCTCTTGATTTACCAAGTATTTTTTTAGGCATTCCTTATGTTTGTATACATGATTGTATGAAAGTATAACTGATTATAATTAGCCACACAGAAATTAGTTCTGTTGCTTTTTTGTCATAGTTCATTATTTAACAAAAGTTTCATATTACTCTGTTATTTTGATCAATAGATTTCCATTTTGTCATATTCAATATTTTCAACTGTAATTATTGGCATTGTTATGCAGTTGAAGTGTTAATAAGGCAAGAATATTGCCAATAATGGCAACCCATTGTGTTACTTACTGATTTTCTGAATTTTTAAATCCATAAAACACTAAACAGAGATTTTACTTTCAGTCCAATTAGGACAGTAAGAGTGTTCCTTTTTTTTCTTAAGATCAACAGTCACTGTCACAAAAAAATGTTGTTTTGTTTCTGAATTCAAGTGTGTTTTAAAGACTTCAGAAACAATACAACATTTTGAACACACTTGATCACATTTGTGTGGGATGATTTTAAATAGAAATTTAGTTCTGATTTCAATTGATAAATTTTTATCTTTCTTTTTATAGCCTATGAAGACATTACATTTTCTGAGTTTTTAAAAACTCAAAAATTAACCCCAAACCTCCAATATTTTGTCCTGCATTCAATTGCAATGACATCAGAGACAACCAGCAGTACCATTGATGGTCTCAAAGCTACCAAAAACTTTCTTCACTGCCTTGGGCGGTATGGTAACACTCCATTTTTGTTTCCTTTATATGGCCAAGGAGAACTTCCTCAGTGTTTCTGCAGGTAAGTTTGCCATTGATTTTCTGGTCTCTTCTAAAGGTGATGCATGAATGATATAAAAATTACAACAAAATGAGATTTATTCAAGATTTATAAGATGCAAACACATACATTGTTCTGCTTTTTTGTAATCTATTTACTTGCTTACCTATCCATCTCAATAATAACAGGCCATTTGGACTATTTTTAAAAATATTTTACTTGTAGATGGACACAATATCTTTATTATATTTTTTTATGTGGTGCTGAGGATCGAACCCAGTGCCTCATGCATGCCAGGCAAGTGCTGAACCAATGAGCTACAACCCCAGCCTTGGACTATGTTTTTTTTTTTTTTTGAGCTTTAAAAATTCTGAATATTTTTGTACCTAGTGTTAGATTTCAAAGCTTCATACTTTTCTATAATCATGTTTTCTTTTCTATAATCATGTTTTTTAAATTGTCCTCTTGTATTTCATTGTGAATGTACCTTCATCTGTTTGCATTTTTCTGTCAGTGGACACAGGATGTTTTCATTTTTTGTTGTTAGCATCCTTATATGTTGATTCAGGATATGTGTGTTCAAGAGTTTCTCTAGAATACATATGTAGGAGAAGAATTCCTGAGTTATGGAATATGTGAATGTTTAGCATTTTACAACATTGACCCCAGTTGTTTTTCTAGAGAGTTATGTCTGTTACATTCTACTAGTAGTATATAAGAACTTCTATAACTCTACATGTTTGTAGTATTTTCATTAAATTTTATTCTAAGTGATTTTTGTTGTTGTTGTTGTTCTCAGGATTGAACCTAGGGGCATTTTACCACTGAGCCACATCCCCATTCCTTTTTATTTTTTATTTTGAGACAGGGTCTTGCTTAGTTGCTGAGGCTGGTCTCCCACTTGTGACCCTCCTGCCTCAGCCTCCCGAGTTCCTGTGCCTGGCTATTCCAAGAGTTTTTATTTCTGTTATAATTTCTTCATTGATCCATGAGTTATTAAGAATAATTTGGTTAATTCTTCTGCCCTTAGAATTGAATTTAATTACATTATGGCATTTATGCTACTTAATCCTGGAGCTTTGTTGGCATTTATTTTATGGCTTACAATATCATTAATTTTTACAATTTTTTCATATGTTCTTAAGAATATTTTTATTTAGTTGTTGGTAGGTACTTGATTCTCTAATTATTGGTATCAGGGTCCAATAAATCAAGCTTTAAGTTGTAATTTTCGAACTTTATTTTAATTGAATATTTTCTTTGCTTTATCATTTGTAGAGAAATATGTTTTAAATATTTCACATTTCTCATTATGTTGCTAGATTTGTCTGTTTCTCCCTATAATTCTGTCAATATGTAGTTTGTCTTTATTTTGGGGTTATTTATTAATATTAGTAGAAATTTATATTTTCTAAAATTCAGATGAATTTAATATTTACTTAATCAATGTCTTTCTCCCCCCAATTCCTATAATGCTTTTTTCCCCTTTAAATCCACTTTGCTGGATATTCATATGATTATTCCAACTTTTCATATTTGACGCTTATAACTTTCTCCATCCTTTTAATTTCCAAATTTTTGGAATCTATATTTAGGTCTCTTGTTGGCATAGTCTTGATTTTTATTCCTATGCTGCCTATCTGACAGTCTCTTTTACTGAGCAGGATGAATGCTGCTAAAAAGAGTCTGTTTCTTCTTTCTGAAATGTAGAATTTTAAAAGCTCCTTTAGTTTACATCTGTTTGTAGTAAACTTTTTAGTTTTATATATATGAAAATAACTTCAAAATGTTTTTATTAGTACATTAATTAAAAATAATAGTGGGGTTCATTTTGATGTAGTTATACATGTCTTATAATGTAATTTGTTTCATTTCAATCCCCAGTACTTTTACTTTCCCTCCCCTCCTCCTTCCCGGATTCCTCTTCCTCTGCTCGCTACTCTTCCATCTATGCTATTTACAGATATGACTTTAATCACAGTAAATTTCACTTTCATGTGTATGTGTAAAGCACCAATTAACCAATAACTGGCTAGAGTTATTGGCCAAATTATATTGTGTGCATGTACAAATATGTAACAAATCCCATCATTATGTATAACTAATGCACCAATAAAAAGTGGAGAAAAAGAACAATAAATAGAAAAACTCTTCATTTTGTCTTGAGTGAAATTTTACTAGGTAAACAGGTCTAAGGTGGTAGAACTTTTCAATATTTTAAAGACGTTCAGCTTTTAAGATTTTATTCCATTGATTTTTTTTTCTGTTGAAAAAATTGGAAGTCAACCTGATTTGTCATTTCTTTATAAGTGATATCTCTTTTCCTTTTGGGCTGTTTTTAAGATAGTTTTATCTTTGGTCTTCTGCATTTTTACTACACTGAATCTTAGATGTTGGTCTCTTCTTATTTATCTAGCTTAATACAGGTGTAACCATTTTAAGTGAACAATATTCAACCATTTTTGACATAAGCTCCATATGGGTGAACTAAATCAATTGTATTTCTTCTATCTATCTGTGAATTTACGGAAAATTCCATTGTGGAAAATTGTCAACAAATATATTTACAAGTATTTTTTGCATTGTCTTCCCTCTCACCTTTTGGAATCCAAATAAATGTTTAAAGTTTAGCATTCTCTTTTCCATATCTTCTACTCTGTCTTTCATATTTCCTATCTCCTTGTCTTCTGGTTGCATTCTTGGTTCTTTATTAAGATCTGAGTTCCAGTTTATTAATTATTTTCACCTGTGATTAATCTGCACTTTGATCCATTCATGCTTTGATTTTCTATTTTTGTCTTTCATTTTAGGAATTCTGCTCCTCAATTTTCCTTTCCTTTTTTTTTTCCTTTTCTTTCTTTTTTTTTTTTGCAGTGCTTGGGATTTAACCCAGGGCCCTATGCATGCTAGCCAAATGCTCTACTACTGAGCTATACTCCCAGCTCTTATGTATAATTTTTGATAGTTCCTTTTATATGTTCATTTTTTGAATCTTTCTGCTTCTTTAAATCATTCATATTATAAATATTTTACATTCTTTCTGTTCATTCTAACAAATATTCATAATGGTCTGATACTGCCATTTTTTATTACTGCTGATTCACCTTAGTGTTTTGTTTCCTTCTGCAATGCTTGAGAATTTATATCTGACTCACTTTAGTTTGAATCTCAAATTAAGAATGCTTTTCTTCTGGAATTGTTTGTATCTGCTCATTCCCAAAGCCCTATAAACATGGGAGCATTTCAGGAGGTTCTCCTTTAATAATACAGATGGCATCTAGTTATCCTGGCCCAAGGTTTTTTTTTTTTGTTGTTGTTGTTTTAATTTAATTTTTATTGTAGTCTTTTATTGCTCAAAACTTTGATTTCAGTTCATTGTTTGTATAACACATGTATGGGTATATTTGGTGATGGGGTGTTTACCATGGTGTCTCTTTTCCTTCTTTCTCATCGGTGCAATGGAAATTATGTTCATGCATTACTTAGTTTTTTGGTATAAACAGGAGGTCCCATCACAGTACCCATTCTATCATACTACTGGAAGTAGCTGTTCTCAAATTTATGTTTCCTAAATATGTCATCTTATGAATGGAAGTGAGAGTGTTGTATAAATTGCACAGTAACTAATTTCAGAATATGTTCTGCATATTTCCAAACAAACTTGTCCTCCTCCTATTTCAGGTCAAAGTAGGGATGAGGAGAGTGTGTCATGTCCCCCAGGACCAGAGGTCCCTCTATCAATTGAAACTAAGAAGAAAGTTCTGTGGTTTTCTTAATCACTCTGTCCCTCTTTCTATGTCATTGCCTGATTCAAAGAAACTATACCATTTTCTCTCATGTTGCCATGTGCTACTCTTACAGAACTTAATGGTAAGGAACAGGGACAGAATTAAAAGATCACTGGGAATTGACCTGAAGCTCAGTAGCTTTCTTAGTAGTACTTTATGAAAATAGATACAGGTTAAGCATCCTTAATCTAAAAGTTTGAAATCATAAATGTGCCAGAATCTGAAACTTTTTGAGCATCTTCATGATGCCACAAGTGGAAAGTTCCACACCTGAATTCATTTAACAAATTGCAAAATACAAATGCACTAAAAATATTGTATAAAATTATATTCGGGCTGTGTATATAGGCTCATGGATTTTTGTGTTTAAATATGTGTTTAAATTTCTCATCCCTAAGATATTATATTTTGCAATTATTTAATAATAGGAAAGAATCTAAAATCTGAAAACCTTCTATTCCCAAGCATTTCAGAAAAGGTATACTTAAACTGTATTTAATCTCATTCCTCTTTTTTCATTAAATCCCTGTATTTCTTTCCTATTCAAACAGTTTATAAATATGTATTTGGGGTTTGTTTATCTAAGAGAAAAGACATTTAAATGTTTCATTTATCGTATACTGTTATAAAATTTCAGAATGAGATGCTAGACAAAGACCATTTTTCCCCAAAGATGGTTTTAGCATTCCTAAGGCTGCTATTTTATCAGAACTCTCATCTTTTAATGCTTTGTAGCACCTGGGTCAGTATTGTACATGTGGTTCAGAATTAAAGGTTGTTATAAAAACTAGACCTCATCTTATCCATTTTAAGTATACTTTTAAGGAGCAATGTAATTAAATGTGTATATAATGGGAAAAAAAGACTTTTCTGTTAAGTTTGAAGTATTATGTTAAACTTTTAAGTATTTCTTTGTTAATTAAGGAAACACTGATTTCTTTCTACATATTATACATATAAAAGACTATATGTGAATTATATGCATTTATTTGGCCTAAGGATATTAACTTTTAATTTTATATTGGGTTCTCTACATAATGCTTTATAATTCCATATAAATATTGCTGTTTATATCCTGAAGTGGTAACACTACCATTATCTATACATCATAGGCTACACTTTTTATCACCAGGTTATCAGAATAAGGTGTCACCTGTTTTATGATTTCTAACCATCATTCTGTATTCTGTTTTAATATAAGCTCCTTAAGCATTTCTCACAACCAGTTACAGT